CAAATGTTTTTATATTAAAAACACAAACAAAGGCTATGTTATAGTATGTCTTTATGTGGATGATATGCTCATCATAGGTAGTAATAATGACATGATTAAAACTACCAAAAAAATGTTAAATAAACATTTTGACATGAAGACATGGGGATTGCAGATATAATTCTTGGTATGAAAATTACCAAAACATCAGAAGGTTATGCTTTGTCACAATCACATTACATTGAGAAAATACTTGACAAATTTAGTAAAGATGATAATCATCTTACTAGAACACCTGTGGAGGTTAATTTGCTTCTTTCTAAGAATGTACAGGAAAGTATTTCTCAATTCGAGTATGCTCAAATTATTGGAAGCTTAATGTACTTGATGAACTGTACTCGCCCAGATATAGCTTATGCAGTAAGTAAATTAAACAAATATACGAGTAATCCAGGAGTAGAACACTAGAAAGCAATTATAAGGGTTCTAAGATATTTCCGATTTACTTGTAACATTAGGCTAAATTATATTAGATACCCAGCAGTACTTGAAGGATACTATGATACAAACTGGATATCGGATACTAGAGACTCAAAATCCACCAGTGGGTATGTCTTTACACTTGGTGGTAAGGCTGTATCTTGGAAATCTTCCAAACAAACTTGCATTGCTAAGTCTACTATGGAATCAAAATTCATAGCTTTAGATAAAGCTCAAGAAAAACCAGAATGGCCTTGCCACTTCCTTGAAGATATTCCGATGTGGCCAAAACTAGTGTCTTCTATATGCATACATTGTGATAGTCAATCAGTAATTGGTAGAGTACAGAGTCATATGTATAACGGTAAGTCACGATACATTCGTCGTCGACATAACACCGTGAGATAACTACTCTCTAATGGAATTACTTCCATTGAATATGTGAAGTCTAAAGACAACATAGCGGATCCACTAACCAAAGGGTTAGTAAGAGAGTTAGTTGAAAATTCATCGAGAGAAATGGGACTTAAGCCTATTAAATAAGAGTTACCACAACGGCAACCCAATCTAGTTGACTGGAGATCCCAAGATCTAGGTTCAAATGGACAACCGAGTTGTGTATGACTCATAAGGATCACTGGGGAGTCAAACTCCTACCCATTGTTATGATGAAATAGTGATATCTGCAGCGTTTTAGGTTAAGTAAAATTTTAATGATTTTTATATCTAGGTAAACCTAATAGAGTATGGCAGGATACTCTTTATAAGAATCACCTATGTAAGTGTGAACTGGGCCGGTTCTATGAGATTTGTGAAGGGCTACAATTCTCTAGAGCACTCATGAAATACCAGGTTGTTTAGGGCCAAAATTAACACAATAATGAGAACTAAATTGTGTCTGGTAATATACTATGTGAGTTCTATTATCTTGGTTTACACAAACGGCTGAAAAGTTCAAGACATCATGTTCACTGGTTAGCTAGTAAATCTGATAGTATCTCACAAGGGAAGGTTCAAAGCCAAAAGCTACCTATCCTTTACAGAATATTTCCAATTTATGTACTCTCTATAATTAGATCATGTTGTTGTATTTTTTCTCTGTCAAATTTCATTCATGTAGGGGATTATTGGAAAATTGGTATTTGTAGGCTTATTTTGGGCCAACTTTAAGCCCAAATTTGAGTGGGATCCACACGTCTTTTGAGGTCGGTCCGAAGAGGTGACGTGTTCCTTGTTGCATAGCAAGTCACACGGTGAAGACGATTCGTCAAAACCATTTATGAGTTAATGGGAATTTGACGTCATTTTCGGGTTCGTAGAATTAGACATTTAAATAATTAAATGTGGGTTTCCTTGTAAGGCTAGTCCCACATTGGAAACTTAAGAGAACTTATGTGTGTATATAAGTTCTAGGTGGTAACACTTAGGTTAGGCCCCAAGGGACACCCCAAGTTTGTGGAATTGAGGAGTTATAAACAAATGGAACCTTAGCTCAAACCACCACACACGCGCGCGCCGCTGCCGTTCGGCCGGCCGGGCCGGGCCGGGCGCAGGTATGGGTTGTAGGTCGGGTCAGTTCTAATATTAATTTTTTTGAGAAAATTTATTTGAATTTTTTCCAAAATTCTTAATGAAATTAATTCAAACTTGAATTTAATTTCCTGTCCATTGTTACCTCATCCAATCCAATTTTTCCAAATAGATTAAACTGTCCAAACAGTTTTTCAGATCTGTTGGAACCCAGACAGATTCAAAACTGCTAGACATGTTTTTAACTGCTGCAGTTTCAAACAGATAAAAACTGTCCAGCAGTTATCTGTTCAAACAGTAGTGCACCTGTTGGTTTCAAAACCAATCCATTCCAGTTTGAAAATAACACATGTTCGGGTCTATAAATACCAGATCTGTTCCAACATTTTGGGATTCCAAAAAAATGATTTTCTTGCCTTCATTTTGCTCTCTTGCATTATTATTCTTCATACTAGTTTTCGAGAAAAATTCAGAGAGTATTAGAACGCAGGTTTTTTTTTTGTTTTTTTGTCATACAAATTGTTTGGAGTGCTACTACAATTTATGAAGATCATTGTATCTTGGGAGATAGACGCCATTTTTCTGTAAGCACCGCAACAGGGCGAATCTGTCTTAAGGACAGAGTGTCACATGCTCGACTTGATCGTTTAATTATTTATTTAGTTCGATAAAATAAATTCAGTAAATAATTTATTTTTATTTGTTTGATTTATTTCAAGTTATTTATTTTACACAGAAGATTGTTCCAACAAAATGTAATTGATTAGCATGTATGATTTGACTTTTTAAATTATTTTTTATTTATTTTTGACTAAAAAATCAAGTTGCCAATGTTGGAACAATCTTCTGTGTAAAAAAATAAATTAAAACTAAATCAAACAAATAAAATAAATTACAAACCGAATTTATTTTACCAAACCGAATTAAATAATAAAAAGATCAAGTCGAGTGTGTGACACTCTGTCCTTAAGACAGATTCGCCTTACTACGGTGCTTACGGATAAAATGCATCTATCTCCCAGGATACAATGATCTTCATAAATTGTAGTAGCACTCCAAACAACTTGTTCGGCGAACAAAAACCTGTATTCTTACTCTCTAAATTTTTTCTAAAATTAATATGAAGATTATATCATGCAAGAGAGCAAAACTAGAAGGAAAGAATGAATTTTTGGAATGATCAAATGCTGGAACAGATCTAGTATATATAGGACTGAACAAGTTTGATTTTCAAACCGAACAGGTATGGTTTTGAAATGAACAGGTGCAGTTCATATTTCAACAGATCTGCTGGAATTGTTTGATCTGTCTGAACTGTGTGAATCTGTCAAACTGTGCAGTTTCGGATCTGTAACTGCTGGGCAGTTATGAGCAGTTTTATGCAGTTAATCTGTTGAAATTTCGAACTGAAGTTGGTAAAATATGGACAGAAAATTAATTTCAATTTTGGCACAAAATTGGAATTTAATTTCATTAAGAATTTCTAAAAAAAATTCAAATAAATTTTATCCAAAAAATTAATATTAGAACTAACCCGACCCACTACCCACACCCGACACTGCTCGACTTGGCTCGGCGGCGCGCGAGCGCCTATATGATGTTTGAGCCAAAGTTTAATTTGTTCATAACTCTTTCCTTCTACAAATTTGGGGTGCCCCTTGGGGCCCAATCCAAGTTAGTACACCAAGAGCTTATATACTCATAAAAACTCTCTTAAAGTTTCAATGTGGAACAACTCATTTCAAGGAAACCCACATTTAATTCTTTAAATGTTCATTCCACGAACCCGAAAATGACGTCAACTTCTCATTCACTCATAAATGGTTTTAACGAACCATCTTCACCGTGTGACTTGTCATGCGGCAAGCAACACGTCACCTCTTCGGACCCACCCAAAAAACGTTTGGGGCCTACTCTATTTTGGGCTCAAAATTGACCCAAAATAAGCCTATAAAAACCAAATTTCCAACAACCAACCGCAGTCTTAATTTTTGTTCACATTGTTGATGAGTTACATCTTCTTTTTTTCTAAAATAATTACACCCTTAGGTCTTGTAGTTTCGCTCTTATGTCAGTTTGAACTTTATAATTATAATTGTATCAATTTTACCCATAAATTTGTTTACATTGTGTTAATTTAGTTTAATTGATAACGTTCTTTTAGAAATTGAACTAAATTCAAGTGACAAAATAGTTCGTTCACTCTTTTCAAAATAATTAAGCGGTAAGATATAATTTTAAATGGTCCATTCCCTATCAAATAAAATCATTTTGCCATTGATTTTAGTCTAGTTTCATAACGAAAGTTATCAATTAGTCTAAATTGAAACAATATAAATAATTAAAAAACAAATTTGATACAATTAAAGTTATAAGGAGCAAATTAACACACAATTTTATTACAAGAACCACAAGTATAATTTGCTTGTTTGCGTGTATTGTTTTATGTCATTTTCATGTACCATGTTTTGTTTTGGAACCAGAGAACTTGAAAAATGTATTCATATGTACAAGTTGATCATCTATGTGATTAATATTTTTGGTAAATTATACTAATTTCTTCTGAAATTTTGTGAAATACAACAAATTTAATAGTTTTGACATAATTACATTAGATTTTCTTAATATTTTAATTCACATAACACTTGACCCATTTTCATTGATAATCTGTTAGTTATATAGATGGAAAATGATGTTACTCATCTCTTTCACACTGCAATGTATATATATATCATTTATCCTTGTGTTTTCAAACTATCTGTATTAGTTCTAGACCCTTTGACTTTACTAAAAGGAGGTTGATGTAATTAAGTTAAAATTGTGAAAATTATTGTATTTTCTTCAAAACCTCAAAGGAAAGTCAGTGAAATTTATCCTAAATTTGTTTATTACTAATTTGTAATAGTATAAATTGCACAGTTTTGTGTTTGAGTAATTACTAAATTTCACTTTTTTTTCCTTTTTTTTTTTTTTTTTTTTGAAGAAATAGAAATTTTATGATTACTTTAAAATAATGAAACCATCACAATTTACTCATTCCACAAACTCAAGATCCAATTAATATTTCAACGACAATGAACATGAAACTTTAAACTAGAAGCTCCTGCAAACATAATATAGAGTTGTGTTTCCTTGCCATGCATGGTAATCATCGTTGCTTGTTTAGAATTTCATCTGCAGATTGATAACAATGTTCTTGTCCACTTGAAAAGCCTTAGCAAGAGCATCACTAGATATATCAGGCTTGGCACCAAACACCACATTTGTGATTGTATTGGCACCGGGGTTTTGGCTGCTAAGAGCTACCATGGCAACGGCATTACAATATCCTACATTGCGCTCAAAGTGAATGAGGCCAATTGGGAATACAAACACATCACCCACTTGAAGTACCTTGGAGATAAGACGATTATCAGGGTTAGACGTGACAAAACCAACTTCAAGGCTGCCTTCTAGGACTGTCAAGATCTCAGTGGCACGAGGGTGCGTGTGAGGTGGGTTGAGACCCATTGGTGCATAGTCAATTCGAACCATTGATATGCCAAGAGTGTTAAGTCCCGGTATCTGACCTACCGTAGCTGGGGTTGCCTTCGAGCCAAGTGCATTCGATGTATTGCCGGCTATGTGAAGTCCACTCAAGAAGAAATCATTGGCTTGAACCATGCTAGGGCTCTTGCATGCCATACCATTCACTCGCACTATCATGATCAACAAAGTCATACAATAATCAATTTTCGTAATAATAACAAGAAATTTCACTATGAAACTCTGTTTGATTTGAAATTTTCAAAAACAATTTTCTAAGTTTTCAATTTGTAATTTTTTTATTTTTAGTGAAATTTTTTAATATTTTAATCAGCTTTTTTTTTTAGTTTTTAGATTCACTTAATTTAGATATATTTAAAAAGTACGAAATTTTTGCAAAAATCTTTCAAAAATTCATTAAATACAAAAAAAATTTAGTATACTTTTGTATTTTGTTGTATTTAATGAATTTTTTTAAAAAATTTGTACAAATTTATATTTTTTAATTCTATATAGATTAAGTGGATATAAAAAATTTTAAAAAAAAATTAAAATGTTAAAAAATATCACTAAAAAAAAATACGGATTGAAAATTTTAAAAATTATTTTTGAAATCTTCTAACCAAAAACACAAACATGCAAGATTAGGGTCATACCTTGACTGTTTGGGTCTGCAACACAGAAATCTTGAAGGGGACTATGGTCAGATGCCAAGGCGGCATAAAAAGATAGAGATAGAAGTCCTAAGCGTATATTTTTAGTGGCCATTTGAGGGGAAAAAAATAGAGAAATCTTAGAATTTTGAAGAGTAGTTTAGTTGCAAATATGTTGTGAATGACAAATATAGGAAGTTTTCTATATATAGGAAGAGAGGTGAGATATGAAAATGGCTCAAAACATTCTTGCCGTCCCTGCAGGCATTGAAAGTATGAAATGGTCGTAGTTCTAATTATTACATAATGAATCAATTCCTTTTATTTATTTTTTTAATCCATTTTGTTTTTTGTGTTATCAAATTCTAGAAATTGTGTTTTATTTGTAAGGTTTGGCTTGAATGAGGCATTTACTGATCGGCAATTAATGGTTTTTTCCTTACAAGCCAAACAGTACCAATGATATGGATACAAAAATATTAATCATTAAGGCCTCGTTTAGATAGATGTGGATTTAAAATTAAGGGATTTGATAATGATTGTTTATATCTGAATTTTAAGATTGAGTTAAATAGTTTCATCTATATATATATATAATTATTTATTTATCTATATTAATATATAAAGTGAAAGTTAGAGTTGGTGTTGATGTCTCTATTTTTGTATTTTTTCAAAATATCCAATAGTAATTACAAAAGAATACGAAAATCAAAAAACTCAGTTTTCAAAAAATTGAATTTAGAAAACTCAAACCAAACACACTATTTTTTTAAATCTCTCAATTGTTAGTCTTTCTAGATTCATAAATGTTTTAATTTTTAAATTCTGAATTCTATCATACACTTTACAATCTTATTTCTCTTAAAGAAAATATAATAACTGCCTAGAGCAGTTTCTCACTCTATTGAATTGTTGAAATTGGTAATTGTTAATGTAACTGAGGATTCGTTTTCCAGCTACAAGAATTTTACTAAATTATATATATCTCCTATATCAACTTAAACTTCTTTCATTTTTTTTTCTTCTTCTTTCTATTTATTTTAATCTCAAATTTCTTAATTTAAAATTCATTTCATATCCCTCAAATGGAGCCTAATATTCAATCCCCTATTTTCATGTGGTGTGCATTTTAAATTACAATGACTATAACCTAACTGAACTCAGTCAAACAAAGCCAGAGGTTTTCTTAGCACAAATCTAAGTTGAATAATATATATTTGAAATCTTCCAATGATTTGAAGTAGGCTGAGATTCTCTGTCCGAATTTTTTCTGTCTCAAGGTCGTTTTCCATAAGCCTGCATTATTTGTTAGAATTTTTGTGCGATAGAGAAAAGCATAGGAGCAAAAACCTATGAGTTCTTGATTTGGCCTCAAGCTAGGTGCATTTGGATCTGGATTTGTTAAAGTTGATGATCTTAACTTCACGGTGAAATTGACTGATTATGCAACTAACTTGAATCCATTTCAGTGATTTAAATCGTTCATTTCATATAATTAATTGAGAAAATTACTCACACAAGAAATCAAATTGATTCAACACCTATTGTTATACCATTAAATCATTTTTTTTATACACGACATATATATTTTAAGAAATAGACTATCTATTTGTTATAATATATGTGATTTGATCATATAATTACTTATGTTTGATTAACTTAATTTTTTGCATGCATACTCTTCGTAATTTGTCATATGAGATGAACTGGTTAAATCATCAAGATGGATACAAATTGATCTCATAATGATCAATTTTACCATAAAATTGAGATTTTTAACTTTAACAAATCTGAACCCATTTGGTTCCATTTGGTTTCATCAAAAATAAGTCACTTTATGACTATTTAAGCAAAAATAAAATTTGGTGGTTGGTTTAGTTTTCGTTAGCTGACAATTGTGGGTAAAAAAAAAAAAACAATAATAATAATAATAATCTACCATGTGTGGTAAATGTTTTAAATAAATAAAAAGAGTAAATTTTTTTGTCTTTAGTGAATTTTTTTTTTTTAATTTAACTTTTTACTTTTCATGTCTTTCTAGTTTAAAAGCAATAAAAAAAATATGAAACAAAAAATTCACTAAAGACAAGCCCATAATATATATATGTTTTATAATAAACAAAAAAATCGTTTTTGTTTTGATATCTATATCTAGTAAAAAAAATTAATCTTTATTTATTTATTTTTTACTTATCATGTGTTCGTAGTGTAAAAGTGCTACATGAATTCACATAGTTTGCGTAGAAAAAAGAAACTATATGTGACAATCTAACCATTACTTTCTTAGGGCCAATGAAGAACTGCTAAGAGAGTTTGAAATAACATTTGTATTATGCTTATCAAAAGCCCTTCCCTCAAACTGCAATTGTATTGATTTAGTAAATTAAAAAAATAAAATAAAATAAAATAAAAATAGCCTTCAAATCTATACCAGCATCCAAGGATGTTGAAAATTTTGGTCAGGACTCAAACTGGGCTTATATAGAACTGAAACAAGAGATATACTGTACAAAGCTCCAAAAGCCAAACATCAATATACTACTTGTACAAAGAAACAAACCCATCTCAGATAGAAAGACTCACCACTCACTCGTATACATAACACAACTATGTCAATGTAATACATATAAACAATCACTCATTCAAATAGATCCAACAGAACATATGGTTTCAGACAAACCGAAAGATCATCAAGATACCTCAAGCAGCAACCTCTTCTTCTTCTTCTTCTTCATTCTCGTACTCCTCTTCTACAGTTGCATCCTGGTATTGCTGGTACTCAGCCACAAGATCATTCATGTTACTTTCCGCCTCGGTAAATTCCATCTCATCCATTCCCTCACCGGTGTACCAATGCAAGAAAGCCTTGCGCCTAAACATGGCTGTGAATTGCTCGCTCACACGCCTAAACATCTCTTGAATCGAAGTTGAATTACCAATGAACGTCGACGCCATTTTCAGACCCTTTGGAGGGATGTCGCACACACTCGATTTGACGTTGTTGGGTATCCACTCAACAAAGTACGAGGAGTTCTTGTTTTGGACATTTATCATCTGGTCATCGACTTCTTTGGTGCTCATCTTACCACGGAACATGGCAGAAGCGGTTAAGTATCGGCCGTGACGTGGGTCCGCGGCACACATCATGTTCTTGGCATCCCACATTTGTTGGGTTAGTTCGGGGACAGTGAGGGCACGGTACTGCTGGGAGCCTCGGGCGGTCAAGGGAGCAAAACCAACCATGAAGAAATGGAGACGAGGGAATGGGATAAGGTTGACAGCGAGTTTTCGAAGGTCGGAGTTGAGCTGTCCGGGGAACCGAAGACAGCACGTGACGCCACTCATGGTGGCAGAGATTAGGTGGTTGAGATCGCCAACTGAAATAAGGCAGAACAGAATTAATATATGCATCTTGTCAGTAACAGAACCAGGATTTCATCCCCATGGTACCAAGACACGAATTTTTATTTTTTTAGCAATCAATATGAACTATCGTATTCCAATTCAAGAATGAAAAACAAACTAAGATGTAATATTAAATTAATAACATAAAAAATAAAACCATTATATATTCAACTTAAAAAAGTAATAAATTAATTGATTCTTTGTTTATGTTTGATTCAATCATTCTCTCAAAGCGAAGCTTGACATAATTCCAAATCCCAAAGGCTACAGAAATGCCACTTTTGAGTTTATTTTCTTAATTAAATGCTCCCCTAAAAGAGAAAAAGAAAAGAGGAGGTCGGTGATCTATTTTGTTGGTCCAATACCCTGACAATGTACCCAAGACCAAATTATTTTTTTTGGTCTTGGTTACATTACTGATTATTGTCCTATTTGAATTTCAGGCCAACATTTTGAATTTTGTAAAAAAATTATAGAATTGTCAGTAGTATAACAAACAATAGTATTAATCCATCCTAAAGTAATTTTATTGCGTTTTTACATTATATTTGGGCTAAAAATCCATCCTAAAGTAAGACATATGTCCCCAACTATTTTCATGATATTATAACTGTAGTTCAAAGTTAAAACAATCCAGCTCCAAAAACAATAAATGAAGAGAGAGAGAGAGAGAGTCACAAGCAACCCATCCTAAAGTTAAAAGGTACTAATATTGAGAGACTCACAAACAACCCATTTCATAACTACCAACCAGGACCAAAAGAGACCCATTAGCAACCCATTTTGAAGTTGGATGGTGCTTTCAGAAATAAACACTTCAACAAGTAATAACCAGGTCCCCCACCTCAATTTATGAAGACACAGAATAAGGACATTGCTACTTGCGAGATACCAGATTGGAAGGTAAGCTACATTATCTGATTATTGTTTACTATTTAATTTTCTTGAAGTGGATGAAAATGGAAATGCCACCAACTAGTCATGCTGAGTTGACGTTAATAGTGATTCAAAGAAAATGGACCATCCAGTGTTACCAAAAAGGCTAATACCCAATCGAATTAGGTTTTGGAATGCACATTCCTTGAGAGTAAAAAACCTCAAACATAATGAACTAAAATCTACGACAAGTGAAGTTTTGACAAAACAAAACACTAAAAATGGATCATAATGTTTACAGAAATGTGTTGCTACATGACTAATTTGGGGGGGAAAACTTACCTTTTATGAGATGTCTAATTGTTAAAAGAAAATTGCTCTAGAAGTACATTAAACTCTATGCAAGTTTACTCTTCTCATACCATATGTTAGAGCATGTGGCTTACCACATTTCTGTTCTTGTTCCATGTATAGGAACAATCCACGTTTCAGGTAACATAACAGACTAACAAACTTGTCAAAGAGAACAAAACTTACAAGTAGGGGTTGCAAGCTTGAGAGTTCGGAAGCAGATGTCATAGAGAGCTTCATTGTCCAAAACCATACATTCATCAGCGTTCTCAACAAGTTGATGAACAGAAAGGGTAGCATTGTATGGCTCAACAACAGTGTCAGATACTTTGGGAGAAGGAAAGACTGAAAATGTCAACATCATGCGATCTGGATACTCCTCCCTGATCTTGGAGATGAGAAGAGTTCCCATACCAGATCCAGTGCCTCCACCCAAAGAATGACAAACTTGAAATCCTGTCAATAAATTAAAGTCAGTAACACATAAATGAGATACAAAAGTATAGCATCTGATAGAGAAAAAGAGAGAATTATTTGCAGTAATCAACTGCAGAAGCTCAAATAAAATTATTAAAGAAAATGATGATCATATAACTATAATTCATTTTGTTATGTTTAGAATAAAACTTCGTGGGATTGCAGCTAAACATTAGATAAAAAATCATTCACTGACCAGCAACTTTATCCATAATCATAAAAAGTTCTATAGTTAGACAGTAATATAAATGGACCACAAAAATTTAAGCAGCACTTGAAATGACTATACCTTGTTAATGGATTGCATAGATATCCAGCTACTAACTACTGCTAAACTATTTTATTTATATGCATAAATAAAATGCCATTGGTGAAACTAAAACAGGCAACATTCTAATTTTCTAGTTCACGTTTTACAACAGACATGTGGAAGCGCACTTGATATACAACCTACAATATTCATTCTACAACCCAAATTTTCAGAGCATCAGCACTTCAAGGGATACCGAACATGCCCTGCCCCTCCGTCGAACAGGGTTACCACCAAGTATTTTCCACCTCGAGAAAACAATACAAAATATTCTAAAAACAAAAAAGAGATATTGATGCCGACATTTTACTTCTAATACCAAACATCCATATGAGAGGGATAAATTCAGATTATAACCAAACTGACATAAATGTATCTCCAAAATAAAATCACAAAATGCAGAGAAACTATTTTCTTTTCTTCTTCCCAAGTAATTGAGATGAAAAACATTCAAAAGTTCAGATAGATAGATAGATAGATAGCTAGATAGATAAGAGACAGAGAGAGTTGACAGAAAGGCTTGAATGTCGGATAGTACTTGAATAATCATGAAAGGAGACTGAATTTGGTTTCAAGAAGTACATCAATAATATAATAATCATAACAGTATGCTACGTAAAACCTATAAAACACATTGACATCCAAGAATTCCCATCAAAAAAATATCTTTGTGATTGAAATACAATTCCAATGCAAAATTTTAAAGCAAACAAACATCTTGGTTCAATCTCAAATGAAAAACAATCCCAATCAAAGGCAAAAACATAACCCACAAAATCCTAATTTGTATAAACCATAAACAATAAGCATTCTTATAAAAGAAACAAGCTTTAGAACTCAAATTATAAAATTCTTATCAAAACCAACAACAAAACCCAGAAATCACATCAACCCAATTCAAAACAAGCTATAAAACCTCTAATTATAGCACAAAAACAATAACCCACAAAAACCAACAACAGTTCCACTGATTCACACCTATCAAATACCAGATCCACCAAGAACTCAAAAAATACCTTGCAAGCAATCACAATTCTCAGCCTCTTTCCTCACAACATCAAGAACAGAATCAATAAGCTCAGCTCCTTCAGTGTAATGCCCTTTAGCCCAATTGTTCCCAGCACCAGACTGCCCGAAAACGAAATTATCGGGCCGGAAGATCTGCCCGAAAGGCCCGGATCGGACCGAATCCATGGTGCCGGGTTCGAGGTCCATGAGGACGGCGCGTGGGACGTACCTTCCACCACTGGCTTCATTGTAGTAGACATTGATCCGCTCGAGCTGGAGATCAGAATCGCCGCTGTACTTTCCGCTGAAATCGATGCCATGTTCGTCACAGATGACTTCCCAGAACTTGGCTCCGATCTGGTTGCCACATTGGCCGCCCTGGATGTGGAGGATTTCTCTCATTTTCTCGGGAAAGTTGGGTGATCGATTGGGTAGGCGGCAAATAGAGGAAAGTGAAACTGAGGGAATTTTGTAGAGAGAAAAGTAGAGGATTGGAGGAACGGAAAAAGAGGGAGGTTAGGAGAGAGGGATGGACCGGGAAATTATAGTGGGGTGTATGTTTTTTTATTGAAAAAATATCAATAATGATTCAGATAAAAAGTTAAAAAGGAAGGACAAATTACCTGCGCCCCGTCAGGTTTAGCTAAACCATTCTGATAGAAACTCATAACTTTCATTCTCATCATCATTATGATGTGAGGTCTAGATATGTACGAGTGAACTCTACACATATATTAAGGTTTCGTTTGGAAATGGATTAATTTAGTAATTTTTTAGTTATTTAGCTAAAATATGAGCTAAAAAAATTAGTATATTTGAGATGATTTTTTAATTTTTTACGAAAAAATGTGCAAAAAATAGAGAGAAAAGAGAATCTTTGATTTTTTTGTATGGGTTGTTGACTTTTTGACTAATTTAGTAATTTTTTGACTTTTTGACTAAAATGAATGGTTCCCAAACGAGACCTAAGTAGAGGTAAGTAATTAATATATCGATTCGTCTAAATCGATCGAATTAAATCGATCCGTTACATTTTAGACACAAAAATGCTAGAGGCCCCAAAAATTCTACCAAAAATTTTACCAAATGTGTGGGTCCCATACCCATGTGAGACATTTGGTAAAACTTTTGGTAGAATATTTGGGGTCTCTAGCATTACTCTTTTAGACAGATGTGTGATAACAAACGGACGGTTATATATTGATTTTTTTTAATCCACCAAGTTTTGAACGAATGACGAATTTGAGATTTCTTTAGCCACAATTGAACTGTCAAACCACAAGTACTCCTAATAATTTGTAAAACTTTTTGTATTTTCAATATGTTTAGAAATTTTGTATGTGTTTCAATTGAAAGAGAGTTTAAATATTTTGTTAAATATATTCTATTGAAAAAGAGTTTTCAACTTGAATATATTTTTTGAATTGAAAAAAAATAAATGTATTATTTATTTATATTTTTTTTTTAAATCTAACTCTAAAAATAATAAATAAAAAAAGATATATATGTTGGTTGGTTTTTGTTTTCAAAAACAAATATAGATATAACAATACAGAGGTATACAATCTCTACTACTGTTATGTTCATGGTTTTGGTGGTTTGAATTATTTTTATATTTTAAGAATCACAGATTGTAATAGTTTATGTAGATGAGGCATGCTGTGATTGTAATATGTGGATGAGACATGCAGTGATTGTAATATTTTTGATTTTCTCCAATCCGCCAATCTAGCGGACGGATGGTAGATTGAAAGTTCCGTAGGCTGCAACTGACCCGTGCCACCCCTAACATCAAGGCCAAGATAAAAATGAGTGTCATGGAACCCCCAAAAAAGGGGGTCCCAAACATTCTGTTACTCCCTCCGTCCTCAAAAATAATGGTCCCTTGGTGGATCCCAAATTTTTTTAGGTTTGGACAATTATTGTACTTTTAAAAATTAGTTTTCTAAAACTACCTTATGATAGTACATTCTTTTGAGAATATTCAATGTCAATAATTTGTCTTTTTATATTATTTTGGAATTTAAAAGAAAGGGAAAATGTGAGAATTAGTATTTTTTTTTGTACTTGATATTTTTAAAGAGAGACTAATATTTTTGAGACAATGAAAAATAGAAATAAGGGACTGAATATTATGGGAAGGAGGGAGTAGTAGATTACCAGATTTTTTCAATTTTTAAAAAAAGTAATGATTGAGACCCCACCCCACAAGACCCTACAATTTGAATCACTCATAATGTGACCCACAAATACATAAAGGGTTAGGATTCATCTTTGTGGGGTAGGATTTTCCCTAAAAAAGGAGGTCCCAAACATTTTTCCTTTTAAAAATTATATCTGATCATACTTCTCAAGTATTTTATATTTACATAACAATTTATTCCCTTACCATTAAGTACACGTTAGGAAAATTCTTAAACGAACGATTCTTGCCCCTAGTACATTTTTCCAAAGCATCGAACAATCTGATTTTATATCTGAAATCCTTTGATTAATTTTGATAGCCGAATTATAAAATTTATCAAAAAATAATTAAAATATTTTTGTTGAAACAATAAAAAAAATAAAAGTATTTTTCTTGATTGAAAATAAAAAATATATATATTTAAAAAAAATAAAAATTCAATTTTAAGAAAAAATTAAAAATTATTTTTTTTTTGAAATTTTTTTTTTAAAAGAGTTCTGTAAAGAGTTTTGAAAAGAATTATGGCTTGGTATGAGTTTTAAAATTTTTTGATTCAAATCATGATTTGATTGTCTAAATCCAAACATATCTAAGTTTTTGAACCATATTTGATTTTGTTTATAAAAAATAAAAAAAAAACAGAATATTTTTTAATGAATGCGAAACTGAATTTAATAAAATTAAATAATTGGTAAAATTATTTCTAAACCTCTCAAAAATAAATTATATAAAAGATAATTATTTATTATTTTTTTATCTTAACCGAATATAATTTTTAAGTTTTTAAAAATTGAAAAAAAATTCTAAAACAATACTGAGCAACATGATGATTATTAGCAAATATCATCATTTCTCTAAAATAACACAGCGTAGGAGCATTTTAGTCAATTGTACTATCTTCATCAACCGGCGTTTAATTGCAATGTGGGCGGAATGTAGGGCTGGAATGTTGTAATTTTTTAATTTTAAAACCACAAGAGGAGAGGAGAATCTAATAATTAGCCTACACATCAAGGGGATGTATGGTAATTTGCAAAGAAGAATTTATTAATTAGGTAGTATATAATAATAAATTTAAAAATAAATTTTATTCACAGTTATCCAAAATTTAATTTGAATATTTATAATTCAAAAAAGTGAGAATTATTTGATGTTGAAATATTTTTAAGAAAAAAAGAGTTTCTAATTAGAGTCTTTTTAAAAATTTGTTTATTTGCCCATTGAGCGTTTTGGACAATTTTTTTTAGTTTTTGGTTTATATATATTTAATATTTTTGTCAAAAGATTAGAAGCAGAACTGTTGCTTTTTTCAGTTTTTGGGAGATAAAGATTAATTTTATTAAATTGGTGGTGGGTGGTTGATTTTAAGGAAAAACTGCTGTGTGGCCTATATTCAGACGTTTTATTTTGGTTGCCTTAAGGTTTTTTTTTACTTTTATTAGCTTATTAGGCAAAAACAAAAAAAATTGGCCTTAAGGAACCCCCAGTGGGGGGTCAGCTGGGGTTTCTATTGAATGGATTTGCCTTCTCATTGGGTCAAAAAAAAAAAAATTATTATTTTTTTTTTTTTTTTTTGTGAATTTGAACTGAAATTTTTGGCACCGCTTTGCCACCCTTCACTGGGGTCGGGGGACTTTTCTCCAGTGGGGGTTTGTTAGCCCAAAGTCCATAAATGAGTTTGTTGTTGATTCCATCAGCTCAAACCAACAAACTTTCATCT